GGCGGATTGAATTTTTTGCGGGTTTGCCCCGTAACCGTCCCGCCCCGCCCCGTTTTCCATCCCTAATTATGCCCGGAAGGCACGGTCGAAGCGCGCGTCCAGCGTATTTCTTCGATGACATGCTATAGGCTAATTTTGCCTATCCGTTGTGAACCCTATTAAACTAGTAGTTGGTAGAAAAGTTTGTCATGGAAATCTAAGAACTGAATAAAGTGGCTAAATCTTTATTTTCAAGGCGCTTAAACAGTTAAACTTTTGCAAATTGGTAGGACCACTATTTACTGTTGTCATGCAAATTATTTCGCATGAATGGCTATCTTTACCATAATAGCTTGCGAATGCACTGTTTTTTCGTATGAATGGAGTTGCAAAATTAGCTGCGGAAAATTATTGATTTTCCTCGCCAACTCATTTTACTCCGATGGAAGGAAAATATTTTCCATATCAAAAGAGAGGAAAATATTTTCCAAAACTCTTTTTCAACCTTCTCTATCATATTTCTCATCCCCGCAANGTATTTTCTTACACTTCAACAAAAAAATACTTTATTTTTATGATGTAGAAAAAATATTTTCGTTCATTTCAACAAAATGATGTAATAAAAAGTATTTTCTTTCATTTCAATAAAATGAGTATTTTCTTTTCATGATATAAAAAAGTATTTTCTTTCATTTCAACAAAAAAGTACTTTCTTTTTATGATGTAAAAAAATTATTTTCTTTCATTTCAACAAAATAATATAATAAAAAGTATTTTCTGTCATTTCAATAAAATGAGTATTTTCTTTTCAAGATATAGAAAAAATATTTTCTCTCATTTTAACAAAATGAGTACTTTTTCAAGTTGTAAAAAGAGTACCTTTTTTTTTTTAGTTATGTAGCACAAATTTTAACGTTATTTTTGCGTGAAAAAGTAAAGCAACACATTAGTACCTTTGAGTTTGTATGAAGTTTTAAAAGAATAATTAAACTCTCGAAGAAAATAGAGTTCTCAAAACGCTGGGTATTTGGGGTTTGTGGGGGAGGGGGCATAGGAAATATGAGGATTTGGGGGAGGGGGTAAGGAAAGTAGTATAAAAAATTATTTTTCTAAAAAATATTTTCTAAAACAAACACTAGAAAATATTTTTCAGAAAAAGTTTTTCATTCGCCAACCAAACAAGGGAAAATAAGTGACAAAACTACTCATTTTCGAGGAAAACATTTTCTAGTTCGTACCAAACACACCCCTAGTGTGCAAGAGTCTTATGCTATGACACTCTTCTACGGACCAACGCCTGCTATTTTATTTGATTGAAAAAAAAAATCATCTTGAAAAAGATGCACAAGACACATAATATGGGTTTTCTTAAACGTAGTGGAATAAACAGACAGATTAAAAATATAAGTGTAGAAAAAGTTAGAATTAAGAGGATTTTACCGCCCATTTAATAAAATGAGCCTTACAAACGCTTTCCTTTGCTTGCTAGTGGGGCAGTTACGAGCTATTACCGGAATTCTTTTGTTACATGAAAGCTACTTTTCTCTACCTTTGAGGCAAGCGGTATCACGGGACAATACTTTGTCCAATAATTATTAAATATATATAAATAAATTTATTAAAACGAAAATATAGCTCCAAATATAAAGATACACTTGAATGCAGATGGCTTCATATCTCCGTAGGGGTAAAGGTTTTGAAACCTGCTCATGGTGTTTTAATTAATATGATTTGAGGTTTTTCTTCTTTTAATATGAAGTCATTATAGTGACGCCATTTAATAAAAATCTAATGATTGCACGATTCGAAACTCAATGGAAATAAGCTCGTTCTTCTACATTTAAATTCCGAAGGTGTACCCACTGCGCTGTTACCATTAGCACAAACCCTGAGGGTGGAATAATCCATCTAGTTCTTTAAGCTAAAAATGAAAGGCAACGCAAAATAACTGTCTAGTAAAAGATGACAAAAAAGAGTTAATTGTGCAACTGTGTACAAAGACCTGTATATCATTTTCATGAATCGGTATACATATGAATCCGTGTTGAACCTAATGTGTAAACTAATTACAAAACCAACTGGAACAAAATAAAAATAATAAATGAATTAAAATTCTATACTCCACACCTAAAGAATAATTTGAGTATATCTCTGTATATGCTTTCTTTTTGTCCATCTTATAAACCAAACCATCTCTGCTTCCAAGCCCTGCTTGCTTGCTACAATAATCTCTCTTTGTTTCTGCTCGCCGCGCAGCGTGAAGGGCAAGTAAAAACCCGACATCTGGCAGCCCCTTATAGGCCAATTTGTAGAATTATGGTACTGATATTGGACTAATCTACCAAATTATGAACATACAAATCCCTATCTTTGTGAAGCAACCCTTAAACTTGGTCTCTTGTTGAGTTGCTGTTTACTGGCTTCCTCTTCAGATCTATTACATAAACAACCTGGTAAAGGATTTGCATAAAAGTTCTCCTCTAATCTTGGTGATTCACCAGCTTGTCTGAGGTAAGGAGCTCCTAATCTATTGGATTGTAAGACCTTAACTTGTGAAGCAAACTCTTCCCAAGAGATCGCACCCTTATCCAACAAGTCGATTAATCTTACAAAGTTGAATCTGAAAATAAAGACGAGACAAAAACATCATAATTTTGATCAAAGTTAAGGGGTGGAAAGGGAAGTTAATAAAGTATCAAGGATGATAACAAACCTGTCGGGACTAATGGTCTTTCGAAATCCTTCAAACTTTCTATGACCTTGCACAGCCTTCGCCATATTGCCATCATATGTGTAAACAAAAACATCACTTTCGAGGGCTACCATATAGTCTACAGCAGCAAGACGGTTTTGATAGTTCTTGAAAGCCTCGAGTTCTTCTTTTGTTGCGAGGGTTGAGTGAGAGAACACATTCGGATAGTGTGAACGAAATTCATCCATACTGTTGTTGCCATAAATTTCCCCTGCAACAATGTATATTCTGGTCGTGGAGGGATAGCCCATCGCCTTAAGAAATAAGGCAGCCTCCCTCGGGGACATAGGGCAGCCCCCTTGCAGTCGCTTTTCCTTGCTGTTTATCTCTTTCTCTTTCCAATGTTTCACTTCGTACCTCATTTTACGAAGTTCTTCAGCCTCTTCAGCTGTCAAATTGTTGCTGCAGCCAGTAAAGGCTAGCATGTCTTTTTCATATCTGCACGTTCGAGCAAATATGCTAAGTTACTCATCGATCAATGGTTGAGAAAATGTCAAAGAAAAACCAAGTGTTTGATAGATTACCTTAAATGGAGAGCAATATATGGTTCACCATTATCTCTAAGTCTATCCACCAACTTCTTTCCAAAGTCCTCTATCTCATTCGTGTAACGCAGAGCCTGATAATTTGCTCTACAGCGAAGCCTTTGAATAGACGATGCTAGGCCATTGTTAGCAAGTCTTGAATCTGTGTGGGTAAATTGAATTACCTTATGCTTCTTTAGTAAATGAAGTATCTCTCCTCTATAGTAACTAGCCTGCGATGAAAGCATCATATTTTAGCTTTCGCCACGAAAACTATAAGCTAAATCTAGCACATTAGTAGTAGATTTTTTTTACAAACCTTTGACCAGGACACAGGTGCCTTGTGAAGGGGTTTCACAGCTGCATATTTTGGTGGCAAAGACTCAACAATCTCAATATCATCCTTTAAAACTTCAATGAAGTGTCTCCAGTCAAAAATATCTTTAAAATCACTGCAACAAACGAGAAAATATTAGAACGAAAATGAAGAGGCCCTAAAAAGGGGATCAGGAGAAACTAAAGAGTAGTACCTAGTATCTGTCCAAAAGGATTCGTGATCAAGAGAAGGAAGAACCAGAGTAGCATTCATTATTTTTGCAATAGCCACCATATCACATATCTGCAGTAATCCACTAAACATAATTAGCAATACATTTTAGCTTCGCGATTAGCTAAAAACCATTAACAGAATAGCTTAATGATTGTGGCATACAGCTTTTCACTTACCCCTGTTCTCATTTGGTTTAATCCTCCATTCGCATGAACTAAGATATAGCCATTCGTCGATGAGCCAGTTCCTGAAATAATTTCCAGGTATCAGAATGCATAAAGAATAAACTTCACAATTAACACCAAATATGTTCAAAACATCTACCATATTTACATACTTATGCGATTCCTTGGACGAGAAATGCATTGGTAATGATTATCACTGTTTGGCTTCATCCATATTTCTGGTACCTGTCAAAGCAATCCATACAGACTAGTTAGTTAAATGTCTTCATTTCACCTTATCTTTTTTTGGTCATATGCAGCTTAGTCCACAAGTAAACAACAAGAGCTGTAATAAGTCTGGATTTAGGAAAATTTTGAAAAAACAAATAGAGCACAGAAACTAGAACTACATATGTATATGTCTCAGTTTGCTGAACAGTTGAAGATGAGAGTAACCGGTAATCAGTGGCGAAATCTCAAGAGTATTCAAACTTGAAATAAGTGAAAAAAATCCTCCGACAAAGAGAGTTCAATATATGTTGTATACCTCTAAAACCTACTAATATTTTACCTATATACGCATGTCACTTGACCACCCTTTTAAGACATGTAGCTTCGCCCCTGCCGGTAACTACTTCCTATGTTTACATCAAATTGAACAATTAAACCTTAACAGTTAAATGTGCGTGGAAGACACGTCTTCGGTTAAACACCAAATGGGGGTAAATTTTATACTGAAATTATACTATGAGAAATAGCGTATACGCGTCGAGGTGCATACAAGAAAACTCGAACGCTACCTTTATCTTTTCTTAAGAAGGAAGAAGAAATAAAGAAGGCTAAGGGATATAACGGTCAACTAATCATTAGACAGCCACCACCACAGTCAACATTGCCAATAACCAACTGGCAAATGTTCACAATATTCCACACTGTTTTTGTTGCCGCCCACTTACTTGGATTTTACCGAGTCAAACAATGAACAGAGATATCCCCAACCTCTCAATTTACCCACTCAGTTAAAAATTAAAAAGGTAAAAGAAAAAAAAAAAAAAAATCTTCCATCCTGAAAATTAGTGCTCCCAAAACTCTCTCCTTTCAGAGAATTCATGACAAAATACAGAGAAAATTTGAGTTACTAACGAAAGTTTCTATCTTTCATTCTTCAACCCAAAAAATATAAACAAAACGCAAAAATTACAGCTCTCATTTTCTAAAAATTGGATTACACAAACACCAAACTAAATTTGGGTAATTAAAGATTCAACCTTTAATTCTTCTTTTCCATATTTTTCAGAATTCTAAATAAGAATAAACATTAAAAAAAGGGGGGAAAAATTAAAATCAATACTTACAGGTATTTCTTTCATCTGACGTTTTCTCACAAAATCCCCAGCAGCAGCAGAAGAAGAAGAATCCGTTTCAGAAACTACCTTTTGAGCATTAGCCAAAATATCATTCTTGAAATTATGTAAAACAAAAATACCATTCTCTCTTCTCATTAAATTCCCATTTATATCTTCTACATTGCCACTCATCATCATAAAAGAAAACTTGAAAAATACAGATGCCACCATAAAAAAAAGCAGCAAACCAAAAACTGTACGGCCCATATTCTTCCTTGATCTCAAAGATTGCATAATTGTACCAACGTTTAAAACCCATTCTTCTACTCTAAATACAATATTTTCTGGTACTTTTTTACGTACCAAAAAATATTTTATTAACGGATGATGATGATGGTGATGGTGATAATGAAGAATATTGGTGTTGATAATTTCAGTGTTATTATCATTATTATCGGAGAAAACATTATAATCTGATGAGGCTATATGTTGTGTACTGTGATTTGATGATTTTTCGGGGTCCGTCATGGAGTCGGTGATACGGCGACGGTGGTGGGTGGTGGGTGCGGTGGCTACGGGGATAACAGTGGCGGAATTGGTGGTGCTGGTCGTCGTGGTGGTGGTGCCACCGGTTGACATTTCACGAGAGGAATTTGTATGACTAGTGTTTACAAGGAAACTAAAGAAAGTCAAAAAAAGAATATTTTTTGTGAGAAAATTATATGAGAGAGAGAGAAGAGGATTTTCCAATATGCGAACCGTTGCTTTGTTTGTGAGTATATATTTACAGGGTGGTGGGGTTGGGGTGGGGAGTGGGGGTTGGAAGATTAGTGGGGTGGTTCCTTGCTTTTTTTCCTTGTGGGTCTTATTTTATTTTATTCTATCAATTACTTTCGCATGAGAGGTTTTTCAATTTCAATAAAAAGAAATGACTTAAATTATATCTATTGATAGTTTAAAAATATTTTAGTTAGCAGTATATTTTAACGAATTAATTGTCCTTTTTATTAGTATTACTAATTAATATTTATCAGGAAATACGTATAATTATCTGAGAAGTGACTTGAATACGTATTATTAGAACTTAAACTCAAAAGAATTTTTTTTTACCATAAGTAACAACTAACGACCACCTTGTGATTGGGAATAATGTTTAAAAAAGGGAAAAAAATACTTTTAACAGATACAAAATTTGCCCTTAAAATTTATGGTCTTATGATATTTTCATGCCTATGAAAATAAAGATAAAACGATGTTACGGAGTATTTAATATGAAATAGAGGTGATATTATGTTCCAAATACTGAAAACGAATTAATAATGAAAAATTATAAAGTTGATATCAATTAATTAAAAATTAAAACTTTGTTAATTGATTAAATGTTTTACATTGTGAAAAGATTTTACTAACTTTTTTTATTTTTCTGAGACAAAAAAGAAATCAGTGAATAATTGAGTTTTGGAGTCAATAGGACTGAAGATTTGTAGTACGGTTTGTCTCCAATCAAGAAAGGACTTTATCAAACGTTAAAATCCTGAAAAAAAGCTATGTCTGAAATTGGACTCTTTTGGAAAGTGAATCTGTCATCTTAGAAAGTACTTTCTCCACAAGATGAAAATGTAACTGCCCTTTATAAATAAAATGCGCCTGTGGTAAATTATTGGGCGACATTTGCTTTTGTGATTCATTATAGATATTATTTTAGTTATATGATATTTTTTTCACAAAAATTAATAAAAAAATATCATATGAGATTTTTGTAAAATTGTTTTTGTTATTTAAACTGTAAGTGAACATAAAAGATTATTTTTTTCTAATATTTATTTTTAACGGAATATTTAATTTTATAATACATTACACATGTTACTTATTTTTATGACCATTTATAAAAGAAGTCAGTAAAAATTCAACATCGGAGATCTTTAAATAAAATGCATAAGATGTGTGTTTATAATATCATTTTCTTCTATTTAAATTGTACGTAGGAGATCATTTCCTCAATAGAAATTGGGGAGATTCAATCTAATTGTCGTCGCTATAAATTTTTTAAGAACTTGAATTATGCCTTCTTAAATACTTCCTGATGTTCCAAATGTTGGCCGTCACTGTCAACTACGTCTACTTTAAAATATTTGTAATTTTAACATAGTAAGAAGTCATTTATACGTTTGTAATTAAAAAAAATTGTATTATTTTAAATAATAAACTATTAAATAAGTAAGACATTTAGCGCGAGATAAAATATAGTTTAGACAAATACTTTATATTATAGCTTTAAAAACTTAAGTGCTTTTTATGGCTCTTAAAAGATTAAAGCGTCTTTCTTACGGGAAAAGTCTCCTTAGGGCAAAAGATGTACAATTTTCTGAACTTTTAATATATTATTTTTCCTCTTTCTTTTTGTTTTTTCGTCTTTTCTTTGTGGAGGGAGAAAAACATGGTTACTTGATACAGGAGATAAGACAACGAATTACTCTGCATATCGACCAAAATTAAAATTAGTTAACGTATTAATTGTGGAAACTCTCATGAATGTTACTCAACCCCCACCCCCTCGCTCTAAAGGAAATGAACCAGTATTGCTTAAGGCAGCTACATTTTTGGTTTAAAGAATTCTGGAGCAATTTATGACTACAATACGATACAAAAACTTATGACACGCTATTATTAGTTACGGAAAAGAAGTGAACATTTGTTTGATTTCACATAGTAATAACCTATAATGCATTTTTAGTGACTATGGATCCCACAAGAATTGTGTTAGGATCCAAATAATAAGGTGTCATGCGGAAGCTAGTAAAGCAAACCTTGAACAATGATAAATCAGACAACAAAAGAAAAATATACCAAAAGAGACACAAACATTAACGTGGTTCGGTCAATTGACATACATCCACAGGCGGAGATGAACAATCCACTATATAAAAGAGAGTACAAAATATCGAGAGAACAACCTCACGAAGAGGCCAACACAAGTGACACTCTAACACTTGTCCCAAAAAGTTCTCTTCCTTAAACAAGGCTCTCAAACCCCTTATAGCTACATTGTGGATGCTACTAAAAAAGAAGGAAGGATCCTCAATTTATAGAAGTCCAAACCTTTTCCTCCGAGAAAAGGGATTAGCTAAATATGGGAGATTTATAATTTCCTTCCAAGAAAAGAAAAACTCAATGATGATAAATATGTTGTCCTTTCATTCAAAAGATAGGAAAACTAAATATGGTAAGAAAATCAGGACAAACCAAACAATTCCTTGTTAGGCTAAACTAACACAAATACACTCTTAGTATGATGTGATATTGTCCGTTTTGGGCCAAGCCCGCACGGTTTTTCCCAAAAGGCCTCACAATATTAAGAGATCTCTATACCTTATATGCATGCTCCCAATCTTTTCAGCTACCAATGTGAGACTTTGTTCGCACACCCAACAATCTCCCCCTCGAACTAAATTCCATGTGGCTTACTACTATGATTCACGAGTCTCCCCTCGAACTAAGTTCCATGTAGCCCATTGCCACAATCTACGGGTCAATTTTTGAGATTCACTGTGTGCCACCCAAATTGTTAGAGTATTATGGCAACCGAATTTGGCAACTAGCTTCTTCTTGTGTGCGCGTCGGCCCGCACCATCACTTTGCGGTCTCTATACTCGTCCTACTAAACATGGATTTTGATACCAGTTGTTGAACTTAAACAACCCAAAGATACTCTTAACATGATGTGATATTGTATGCATTGGGCCAAGCTCACAGGGTTTTTCCCAAAAGACCTCACACCATTAAGAGTATCCAAAGCCTTATAAGTAAAATCTTTTTCCTTTCTACTCTCCATGTGGGACTTTGTTCACACACATCCAACAATCTCCCCCTTGAACAAAGTTTCACATGACCCATTACTGTTAATGGGCTAATTTGAAGATTAAATGTATGTCACCCACATGATCAGAGTATTTACGATTACCGAAGCCCAAAGAGAGGCTGTGTATGCGTCTTTGAAGCTATGGGTAAAGGTAGTGAACTGACCCATAGAAGGGAAAAGGCACTAAGTCGGGCCCCCACGCCCCACTCTGCCATCTCCATAGTTTTTCCGCCAAACCATTGGCTGTGATACCAGTTGTTAGGCTAAAATGCCCCAAAAGATACTCTTAACATGGTGTGATATTTTCCGCTTTGGGCCAAGCCCGCACAGATTTCTCCAAAAAGCCTCATACTATAAAGAGATCCCTACATCTTATATGAAGGCTCCCAATATTTTCAACTACCAATGTGAGATTTTGTTCGCACACCCAACAACTCTAACGGATTTGTTTTTGAAGGTTTTTGTTAAAATCTAGCCCTAAGTTCCGCCATTAACGAGCTCGAGTTAGCTGAGGAGAGAATCAGAGTGAGGCAGAGAGATGAAAATAAATTTTCGCTATTAGCTGCCTTAATGACAAAATGAGTTGTACACGGTCTATTTGTCCTAACATTTCTGTAACCAACTTAACCGACTAACAGTAAGAAAACTAACAACTAATTTCCTAACTAACTATCTTCTAGAAGAGTACAACATAAATACATGAATGTACTATCATTTACAACTCTTCTAATTTCAACACTCCCCCTCAAGTTGAGAATGAGAAAATGTCTTTCATTCCCATCTTGAAGATTAATGTTGCATGTTGCTGATGCCCAAGTGCCTTGGTCATCATATTTGCTGGTTGTTCTTGACTAGCAATATAAAATGTCTTGATCAGCCCTTCTTGAATTTTTTCTTGGATGAAATGGCAGTCTATTTCTATGTGTTTTGTCCTCTCATGATACATAGGATTTGCAGTAGTTTGCAATGCTACTTTATTATCACAGAACAACTTCATGGGCAGTTTCAGATTCATATTCAGCTCTTTCAACAGACCTCTCAACTACACAAGTTCAGCCACTGTGTGTGACATGCTTCTGTACTCAGCTTCAGCTTAGCTTTTAGATATAGTGTGCTGCTTCTTGGCTTTCCAGGATATGGTTGAACTTCCAAGCTTAATGCAATATCCAGGAACAGACTTTCTTGACATAGGACATGAGGCCTAGTCAGAGTCACACAATGCTTCTATTTCTTCACTGTTGTCACTCGACATTAACAATCCTAGCCCTGGTTCCTTCTTAATGTACCTTACTACATGAAGTATTGATTCATAATGAGACTTCTTAGGTGCATGCATAAACTGACTTAAGGACTGCATTGCATATGAAATATCAGGTCTTGTTATTGTGAGATACAAAAGCTTCCCTATGAGCCTTTGGTAACTCCCCCTGTCCTCCAGTAATTCATCTCCTTTATATGTGTTTGTGCATGCATCAAACACAGTGCTTGTCAACTTCAAGTTCTGCTCCATTGATGTCTCTTTAAGTTTAGAGCCTGCTAGACCTGCATCAGATATCATTTCTAAGGCATATTTTATTTGAGACATGAGGATTCCCTCCTTTGACCTAGAAAACTCTATGCCTAAGAAGTATCTGACTTCTCCAAGTTCCTTCATATTGAAATGTTGATGCAGAGATTTCAGAGCAAGTTTTATTTCTTGCGGATCATTTCCTGTAATAAGAAGATCATCTACATAGACAAGTATTAATACAAACTTGTTATCTACATTCTTAGAGTACAATGAATAGTCATGTTTACTTTGCTTAAAACCATACAGAGACAAGGCTTGGGACACCTTCAAATTCCACTATCTAGATGCCTGCTTTAGCCCATATAG